GTGTGTGTGTGTGTGTGTGTGTGTATTAAGCATGATGAAAATGTTGACTGAGCACAGCAGGGGTGTGTGTGTGTGTGTGTGTGTGTGTGTGTGTGTGTGTATTAAGCATGATGAAAATGTTTGAACTATTATGAGAATTATTAAAAGGTGAGACAGTCACAAAAGGAGCACACCATGCTGGAAAAATGGCGCTGACAGACTTCTTCAACGTGGCTGTGGATTCACTGAGCCAACCACACCTCCTGTCTGGGAGAAGTGTGTGAGACTCTCTCACCATCCTCACCTCCAAGCAGCACCGTGGGCACGTCCCCCAAAACAGGTGTGAATCTGAGTTTAGACCATTCGCTTCCTAGAAAGAGCACATTCTGGTTTGGTGATACCTGTGCGGTCCCTGCGTGGCACTTCTGTGCTGCCTCGGGTGCCTGGAAGAGGGCGCGCCATCCCTCGGACGGCCGAGAGAACGAGCAGCGATGTCTGGGTGCAGGAGCAGCCAGACCTCCTGGGAGTCAAAGCTGATTAAACTTCCCCTCACACACTCGGACATGTTGTTAGGACTGGCTATTCACGCCTGGAAGGTGGAGGGTTGACAGAGAGGAAGACCCTCAACCAGGCTGATTGACACAGTGACTGCAGCGATGGGCTCAGGTGTGCCTGAGACTGTGAGGACGGCACGGGATAGGACAGGGCTCAGAGCTGTTGTTCCCGGGGTTGCTGAAAGTCACACTCAACTCGAGGGCACCAAACACCACCACCAAGATAACTAGAGAACTAAGACGGGACATCACTGACTTGTTCTCTCATTAAATTCCACCCAAGGGCGCACAGGGAAACAGCCCCCTGCACCGATTACCACTGTCCTTCCACTCCCCTAAGCACTCCACTCGTTACACCACCACATTCACTCCACCTGTTACCTGCACTGTACCTGATACACTGTCAGGCTTGCTGGACTTTCTGCACTGTGACATTGAAACACTAGTGACACTAATGACATCTGTTGCATGCTCACACTGGCTACACGTCACACTATGACACTTATGGGACAGTCCGCCTCCCTCTTCAAGGATGTTAACCCTATGAAGCGAGGGCTTTCGTTTGTTTGTTGTAGTCAGAACCATGCTGGTGGTCAGTAGCCATCTGTTACCTGCTTCTGAGTGACCAGGAACCATAACTATCCTATAGGTGGACAGATGGGAGGGACAGACGCACAAGCCCACTGCAGAACTGTCTGCTTTGCTGTGGAGCCATGAAGGAAAAGGGGCAGGAAAGGAGTCAGAGAGACAAGTTAGAACCTAGTCTAGTTTGGGACGTGGGCCTGCTGCTGCTCATACACAAAGTCCTCATCTGTCTGCTTCGAAACCACAGCAAACTGAACCAGTGTAAAGCGAGAAGCTGTCAGAGGAGAAAGCACACCCACTTCCCACTGACACAGAATGGCAGGGAAGACAGCTCCTGTCCAAGGGGGAAGCTCCGGCGATCCGGAACAAGGCAGTCCCGTCAAGGTCTGGTTCACAAAGAATGTCCTGTCCAAGGCAACTGTGAAATGCCACCAGCAGATGGAGTGTCGTGTGGTCACCTTCATGCTGAAGGCTAGGACGCGTGCTGCCTGAACCCGCGGCTCCCTCGGCCCTGCTGGCTGCCCCACCTACCTGCACGCTGCCTCACTCCACGCGCCTCTGCTGGCCCCGGCCGTGCTCTGCCACATTCTTGGAGTCGCCCTCTGCAAGGAGAGCTCTGTCAGGGCAGGTGTGTCCACTCCTGCTCCAGCACCGGTCACAGCTCCCCGGCCATCAAGTCCAATCACCTCGGCCTGGCCTACTCCCTGAGCTACATCTCCCTTCTCCCTCTCAAGGGCCTCCCACACCCCCAGCCCTTCCCTCCCCTCACCACACCTCAGGAGCATGAACTGGCCCTGCCACCGCCTTGACTGACTGCACGCTGCAGCTGCAGGGACGCTTGTCTCCAGCCTGGGGTGTTCACGATGCGGCCCCTCTGCCCACTCTTGTTGTGCACCCTCGAATCGGATCCGACTGGCACAGGAGGAGATTGCCCTTCCTTCTCCAGCAGAGCATCTGGTGGACTTGAACCACGTGCCTTCGGGATTGCAGTGCAGCTTCTTGCCACTAGGCCACCAGAGCTCTTATGACTGACATTACTCACGTCCCCTCCCAAGGACGCCGTCACTGGTGCTGCGCACCCCACAGTCCTACACAGTAATCCTCAGCACAGTGACCACTACTAGCGTCTGAATCCTTAATGTTAGCTGCATGACGCAGGAGCCGGGTTGGCCATGGTCCCAACTGTCCTTCAACTCGTAGCACAGAGCAAAGAGCAACCCCTGACATGTAAATCCTGGTCAAGGTTGTTGGGAAAGGAGACAGGATGGAGGGGTGGGAGGGAGGAAGGCGGGGCAACGGTGAGTGGTGGATGGCGGACAGGACAGGAGGAGGACAGTGTCAGCTGCATTTTCCAATTTCCTGTCTCAAATTGGCAGAGGTTGTTGTTGGTCACCGCGTTCCGGGGCTCAGTGTGAGGTCACATTTGCCGGGAGCCGCACTCCATCCCCTGACCCCATCAGACAACACGGCAGTGGTCCTGCTTCCTTCTTTGTCCTGTACGTTTTGCCTCAAACTGTGGCCTCAGCCCAGGCCTGGTCACCTGCCGAGGTGTCCAGCACCCTCCCAGCCTTGCGCCCACCAGGCCCCTCGCAGTGTGCAGTCTGTAGGGGCCCCTGCTGTATTAAGCAGCCAGAGGACTGCTCAAGCTGGAGAAAGGACTGTCACAACGTCACAACGAGGGGTCACCGACACCCACCTCCTGACGACAGGACAGCCCCTGGGACAAACATGCCTCTGTCCACTTCTCTTCACCTAAGAAATGCTCACTGCCCCTTTCTAGAACCTCTCGCTAGAAACGACGGCTTCTCTCTTTACCTGGATATTCTCTGTAAAATTTATGCCGCAGGACTCGCCCATCTGGAAGAGAAAGGAGAGGATGATGAAAACCTCAAAGCCCCTTTAGGGCACTGACTGGAGGAATGCACCGATGGAATGGATGGACAGATGGATAACTGGATGGATGTATGAAGGGAAGGGGTACATGGATGGACGGACGGATGACTGGATGGATGCTCGGATGGAATGCATACATGGATGGACAAGTGGCCGAATGAATAAACAGATGGATGAAGGAGACCGGTTGGGTGGACAGATGGACAGATGTATTGGTGCTTGTGTGTGGGATGATGGGCCCTCTTTAACATTCATACAAAAAAGGGAGTAACAGGATTACCAAATCAGAACAACACTTGACTGTGAAACTTTACTCCACCACTTCACCTGCCCTTAAATCTTGGTCTCAGCTAAAAATAGGCATAAAATCAGTAGCTCCTAAGGTACTCTAAAGGAGCTCAGGTGGCCTGGCGGTGAGAAGCTGCGCTGTAATCTCAAAGACACAGGTTCGTCTCCACCAGCAGCTCTGCAGAAGCACAGTCTCCTGTGCGACTAACAGCCACTGAAAAGCTGCCTCTGCAGACCCGCCGGAGGGTCGGCTGTGGCTGGCTTTGACTCCACGGCACACCACAACAACAGCTGCCTAACGGTACTGTGAAGCAGCCCTGGTGCTGCGGTCTGCGGCGTGCTGCACTGCCAGCTTCAAAGCCAGGCCCCTCTGAGAGCTCGGAGCCACCGCAGCTCGCCAGGAGAAAGCTGGGCAGACGGGCAGTTTCCCCCCACTGAGGTGCAGCGCACAATGGGGGGCTCAGCCAGAAGGGTCCTGCAGAGCAGGCTGGAGGGTCAGCTCGACGGGCTGCTGAGCAGGGCTGCTGTTGCTTTCTGTGTAGTTTTGTGGTTACTGAAAGGAGTCAGAGAAGTCATTTCCCTTGAAGCGTCTGTACAGACATCATGCAGGGAAGGGTCAGTGAAAGCGGAGACGCTCCAGGAGATGGACTGAGCCGGTGGCTGCAGTAACGAGCTCCAACATGCTGGACAGAGCAAGGCCCTGATCTGTGGTCCCCACGCTCGCTGTGAACTGTATGTAGTCCACCTGCCAGCGCCGAATGCCACCCCCCACCACGTGACTGTCAGGTGCGTAAGAAGTGGCTCATGTCGGCGCCCTCCCACCTCAGATACCACACATGAGTTTCCACCACGTAAATCCTGCTGTTGCCTGCAGTCAGCCCTCACAGCTGCCCCCACCCCAGGGCCCCACAGAGCGCTGGCGGGAAGGTGGGCACCGCTGGGCACCCGTCTCCTCTGCAGTCCAGCCACGCTGACCAGCTTCTGGTACACACTCAGCGGTCACAGGCTCACTTAACACAGCATATAACTGCTGGACACACTGGTTTTCTTTTATTCTGTGGCCACACTAAAATCCATCGGGGTTTCAGGGCCAACAGTGACCTTTACTTCAAAATGTGACAAAACCCCAGTGGCAAATTCACAGCCTGTGGTGGACGCATGGCTGCTCCTGCAACAACGAGACTTCCCAAAGGCAAATGTCGGAGCTACGGCAGCGTGGGAGAGGTCCTGGTGGTGCAGTGTGTAAGGCATTTGGGCTGCTAACCAAAAGGTTGGCAGTTCAAATCCACCAGCTGCTCTGTGGAAGAAAGACGGACAGTCTCCCCGTGTGAAGAGAGCCACTGGGTGTCAGAACCAGCCTGTGGATTTGGGTTTTGGTATTGGGGTGAGCAGGGTTCAGAAACCTCCCTCTCTCTGCACCCCTACCCCTGTCAATTCCCATAATGCTACAGGTTGGGAGCAGAGGTGCCTCTGGGATCTGGGCCTCCTCTTTAGTCCCAAACCCCAAACACCAAATCCGCTGCCTTCAAGAGAGCCCCGACCATCAAGACCCCACAGGATTCTCCAGGCAGAGTGAGGGGCTTTACAGAAGCACAGCAGCATGTCTTTCTCCTGGGGGGCAGATGGTGGGGTCAAACTGCTGACCTTCATATTAGTGGCTGAGTGCTGAACCACTGCACCACCAGGACTCTGTCCTCCACGACCAACCCACACTGACACCCCAGTCCTGTCACTTCACAGGGTGCCCAGTCGGTCCTCACTGCAGTCCTCAAAGGACAGCTCTGTGAAACGCTGCGGTGTCAGCGTGGACAGTCTCTGAGTCTCAGCCTGGACACTAGACTTCTGCGGGACCTCAGACCCTCAGGCAGATACACTGACTCCTGCCGACCCCACTCTGGGAAAAGTCCAACTGTCTGCAGGGTCCCACCCGTCTCTGGCTGGGAAGGACATGGCCACCTCACGGGTCTGTTTCCTGGTGGGCCCATCTCACACCTGAACGCTGGTCATTTCTCCCTTTGCAACCACAGACCTTGAGGAGGCTCTCTGATGAGACGTGAGGAGGTGTGGGTGTGAAAGCACAGCTTACCCTCCAACGGTTCAGGGTTCAGAAAAAGCGTATGTGCTACAGAGAGAACCAGAGAGCAAACGGCACCGTTCTAACCACTGACGAGGCTGGTGGACTCCATGGGACTCCCCTCAACCCTTCCAGGAAGTTCCAAAGTCTTACACAGAAAGAGGATTTCCTCCTGGGTGACAGGGACAAATGAGTGCTCCATCTGTCCCCCGGGGCTGCTGGCCCAGGGAAGCAGGCAGCTTTCCAACCTGGATAATCACCAGCAATCGTGGCTCAGTGACAGCCCCTGAGGATAAGGGAAGGGGAGCTTCACCTGCATTTCTGTCCAGAAGGCTGGACGTGCTCCTGTGGGAGGGGCCGCCTCTCTCTCTCAGTCCCCAACCTTCCTCTGTCTCTCTCTTACACCCATGTGCACAGACAGCTCATGATTCCACCCACACTTGTGTGTTTGTGTCTGGGCAAGTTCAGGAACCACAGCCCTACTGGACATTGGCACTATCATGAACACTAATGAATCTTCTCTCCTTCGAATACTCCAGGAAGTAATTCTGATAGCTACTATCTGCATTTATTGCTGTGTTTTATGCCAAAGTTGATAAAAGTTAGGCTGCCTGTCCAGGTGGCCTCGGAAAGCGCTCCAGGATCTGAATCTGCTTGGTGGTTCTGAGCCTGCACCCTGCTGGGTGTTCTTCTCCGACACGCTGGCGGCAAAGCTTAGACACTGGTTTTGAGGTGCTCCAGCAGCGGGGGCATTAGTGCCAAACCCCAACTGATGGCAGCCCTGCATGCCAGAGAGGAGCTGTGTGCACTAGGGCTGCAGGTGGCTTTTCAGAAGCCAATCCCCAAGCTAATTCTCTGAGGCACCTCTGGGTACACCTGACCCTCCAACCTTGAGTGAGATGCTGACTGTTTCACTACCTCAAAACCAAAAACATGCTCACTGCCATCAAGTGCACAGCCCTTCTGCAGGACAGACTAGAACTGCCCGCAGGGTTCCCGCGCTTCTGCATCGAGCAGCCACGTCTTCCTCCCTGGGAGGGGCTGGAAGGTTCCGAGTGCATGAGCCACTGCACCACTAGAGCCCCTATGCACATACATAAACCACACCCTGGAAAACAAAATCAAACACCAAGCCCACGTCCACAGAGGCGGTTCTGACTCCATGACCTCCTGTCACGTTTCCAAGGCCAGGATTTCTACCTCATCTTCCTCTCAGAGTGGCTGGTGGGTTTGAACCACCAACCTTTCCATTGTGACTACTGACTCCTATGTAGAGTCATAAGCACCGCTATTTGTGGATTCCGACTTACCGTGACGTGCAGGCCATGACAGAACTGTGCACAGGCTTTCCACTGGCTATTCTTCCTCTGAGCCGCCGATGGATTCAAACCACCAATCTTATGGTTAGCAGTGGATAGAAACACCTATGTTTGAGTACCTTCTACTGCTGGCTCTACTCTGACAGGCCTGTGACCTCAACCCCCAAAATACTGTGAAAGAACCCACTGTACAGATAAAGAAACAGGTTCAGGGCCATGAAATCACAGAGCCCATGGCCACCCAGCTAGAAGTGGTCATTCTGAGTCAAAGCCAGTCCCATCTCGAGGACCTGCAGGGGTGGGAGGGAGGATGTGAAGGAGGCTCCAGGCTGGGGACTAGCAGAAGGGCTCTGGCCAGTCTGAGGGTGCAGGTGGGCGTTCTGGGGACAAGCGTCAGGGCAGAGGTTTTAAACCAGGCATCAGGCTGGGTCCCCACACTCACCTGTCTGCCGACGCTGCCTGACGCACTGTCCGCGGTTGGGGATGCCCTCGGCCACGTCCCCTGGGCTGAGGATGTGGCACTCGTAGCCCGAGGGGCACAGCAGTGGCTCTGCTCCGTCCTCAGTGGTGCTGCAAGCCTCAGCTGTGGGGGGATACACAGCGAGGTCAGGGGCCCACTGAGTGAGGGGTATGTCTGTGTGGGGGCTGCTGCTCAGCTGCACCCCAGAATCCAGGCTAAGCCTCAGATCTCACTCACAGGGGTCTACGCATGTACAGACGTCTGGAGTCAGATACTCCCAAACACACCCTCACAGGCACTCAGAGCACTCTCTGCCACGTTCACACATAGTTCTGACATAGTGCTCATCTACACACACATCCTGGCACACTCACACATATTCACGCATATGTCCATATACGTACATGCACCCATTCACACACATGACACAGAGCCACACAAATGTCGTCTCACAAAACTGAATAAATTATGTATACTGCTTGAAACAGACGAGGGAGAGAACAGTTTAAAAGTGATATATGATTGGATATTATGGTTACGACAAGAGTCCAGAATGAAGGTTGCTTAGTGGAGTGTACTCGGGGCAGAGGGGGGATTGTATATCAGTGAGAGAATTTTTCTTGTACTTTTCAAAGACAAGAACGAACTGGGAGGGAGAGGTGGGCAGGGAGAAAAAGGAAACAATGAATGAATGGAAATCCAAAATCTCTGTAAACGTTCATTAAAATTAATAAAATAAAATTTAAAAATGATGTCTCAAACAGAACAGACTCATACATGCAAATCTAGACACACATTACATGTTCGGCCACACACAAATCTGACACACACAAATACACACTCTCACATATACAGGCCACACACACAAGTTTGTTGTTGTTGTTGTTATGTACCGTCAAGTCGCCTGCGACTCATAGCGACCCTATGTACAACAGCCCTAAACTCCGCTCTGTCCTGTGCCAATCGCACTGTCTCTGACACTCCCATCCCAATTATCCCAGTCACTGAATCAATCCACCTCATAGAGGGCCTTCCTCTCCTGCGCTGTCCCTCCACCCTCCCAAGCATGATGTCCCTCTCCAAGGGCCGGTCTCTCCTCACAAAATGTCCAAAGTATGTTAGATGGAGCCTCAGAATCCTTGCCTCCAAGGAGCCACCCGGTTTAACCCTTTCCAGGACAAATCTGTTTGTTTTCCTAGCAGTCCATGGTATTCTCAATACTCTTCTCCAGCACCACAGCTCAAAGGCATCAATTCTCCTTCTATCCTCCTTGGTCATTGTCCAACTCTCTGATGCATAACAAGTGATTGCGAAGACCATAGCCTGTATCAGACGCACCTTAGTCTCCAGAGAGACACCAATGCTCTGCAGCACTTTGGAGAGGTCCCTAACAGCAGACTGTCCCATGGCAATGCGCCTTTTAATTTCCTGGCTGCTGGTGCCAAGACTGTTGACTGTGGAGCCAAGCAAACTCAGGAACAGGTTTGAGGCTTTGAACACACAAGTTTAGCCACATTTAAACCCTCCCCCACACATGTGCATACATGCACACACACACTGACACAAGTCCTCCAGCTCAGAGTCACACACATACACACATGCTCATCTCACACACTCATAAAATCAAACACCTACACGTATGCACAGATCACGTGCCCTCAGACCCACAGACAAGCACACACGCTCTCTCACATTCCTATATATGCACAGTCCCCCAGACACAGGAAAGTCATGGAGCTCCAGGCACATGCCCCCCCACCCCCCGTGGATGGCCACACAGACACGCGCAGTCACAGCTGCCCACACTCACGCCTCTCCAGGCCCCGAACAGGAAGCTCCCCCTTTGAGAGACGGCCCCTCCTCCTGCCCCAGAAGGAAGCTCAGCCCTAGGGAGCAGCGAGCCTCTCAGCTTAATGGCTGCAGTGTGCAGCGGGGTGGGAACTGTCTCACAGCTGACCCTCTAGCGGGCGCTCAGAAGCTGTACATTACATGGGAGAAGATTCTCCATCCTCCTCCCACAGAGCCGCTGGTGGATTCAAACAGCAAAGCCCCTGACTACTAGGCCCCCAGAGCTCAGGGTGCTGAAAACCAATCCTATCCCTCTCTTGTACAAGGAGGCCTCGTTGTTAAACTCCAGATCCCTCTGTTCTGGGGACCCTGTGAACCTGGCCAAGCCTCCCTCTCAATCCTGCATGTGGGGATGGGGAGGGTCAGTAGGGAACCAGCGATGTCTTCCCTGGTCCTCAATTTGCCAAGAGCAGCCTAGGAAGGCGGGGTGTAGCTCTTCCATGGGGTCTAGGCCCGCCCACTCCATAGGACCTGACAGCACCTCCTCTTCCACGGGGTCTGCACCCGCCTTCTCAGTGGGGACCTTATCAGCACCTCCACTCACACGGAGACTGCGTTTTCCCCAAGTACCTTGTAGCACTTCTTCTGGGCCATCCAGGAGCCAGCCATTGCCACCAAGCCATCGAGGTTTCGGCTGTACTAGCCAGTCTAGGACTAACACAAGAAGAGGTGAATCTAGGACCCATCACGCAGCTTGGACATCTCTTGGCTTTGGGGATGGGCGCCCTACATTTTACAACACAACACAAAGACTCCTTGGGAAAGAAGTGACTGCACACCCTCAGCATGGGTTCCTCCTGCCTTGGAGACACAGAACCCCTGCACCTGGACACTAACTATCCTAGAAACTTCTCTTCCCAGTCTCACTTTCAGGTACGAACAAGCTCTGGCCAAGGAGATGAAAAAGATGACGATGCATCCTCCTGTCTTGCCCTGACCAGTGGCTGTTCATCCCCTCCCTCTCCCTCCTCCTTCCTAAGGCTGGGAGTGACTCTGGCAGTATGGACAAGGACATGACTCAGAGTGTACAGCAACAAGCTGGAAAGATCCTGGGCCCACGACTGACTGTGGGACAGAGCCACTGCCTGCCACAGGCTGTCCACCACTGGACTCTTAACCAAAAGAGAACTGAATGTAGGCTGAGTCCCTGAATTTGTGGTTATTTGTTAGGGTTCCACCCACTTTGTTATAGCGGCATATAGCTTGCCATCTGATAAATCTTTAATAGAAAGAGTTACCAAGGCAGTAGCATAGCATACAAAGCCTTTAGGAACCCAAAGCACAAGTTGAAATCTCTTGTGCCTCTGGGATGGGGAGATGACATAAATGAGAAAACCAATCCAGGGTCAAGCTAGAGATTACTTCCAGGCTACATAGAATAGATGTTGTTTAGCTCTGGCCAGACACTCCCCGTATTTCATAGAGAGCTTCTGATTTAAAACAAAACAAACCCTATAAATGCAAAACTTTAAAAATAGAGGTTTCCTGATTTATTAATAATGATAATTTAAAAGGAACTGGCACCTTAGATATCAATTAAGATGTGCCTGAGATCACATGTGACTATGACTTTGATTAGTCTGTCTGAATCAGGACAGAAACAAGGAGGCTGGCATCCTGCTGGTGCCGATTAAAGGTGCCAAATGCTGGCTGGTTCCTTCAAGAAGATGGACGAAGATGGTGCCCACAGCATGGACAGGGAAGCTCAGTGGAAGCAGCTCCAGCTTCCAAGCCCTCAGCCCTTACAGTATGTGTGTGTGTGGGAGGCACTTTCCATGAGAGGTGGGAGGTCCCTTGGCTTTCATGACAGAGGTGTATGAAAAGGTGGCCCCCACCCTCTCCCAAACCTGAGGAACAATATGGAAGGCCAGCATGAATGACCACACTCTGCTTGCTGTCCTTGGGGTGAGGTCGCAGCGATGACAAAGGACTCAGCACCTTTAATAACTTCGTAATTACAGTCTACGGTGCTTTTGAGCACTGCTTATTGGACAATGACATGTGTCTCAGGACCAGGCTAGCACCTCAGGGACTAGACAGGATGAACGGCGACCCCTGCTGGCGGAGGAAGGGCACACAGGTGTGTGCTCCTGGGTGGACAGGTCAAAAGGCAGTGGCCCTTCCTCCGGGCCAGAGCTTCCAACTATTTCATCCCCGCCCAACTTGCTGCTGCTGAGAATTTGCATTTCCAGCCCAGTATCATCTGGGGGTTATGAGTACATAAAAATCACCTCGGAAGGAGGAGTCCTGTGAAAAGACAGTTTCTGAGGGAAAATGCACCTTTTCCTCAGGGTCAAAAGGTCCTTTCCAGTATGACTCTGTTCAGGGATTCAGCGGGGCTGAGTGCTTCCGTGCTGTTTACAGCACCCTTCCTGCTTCTACCTGACTCAGGTGCACCTTCCCAAGGAGGTGGGGGGAGCGGCCTCTCCAGCTCCCCTCAGCGTCCCTGCAGGCTCCCCGTTCTCCCCAGCCAAACCTCCGTTCAGAAGGAACCTGAACTCTGCGTGGAGATGAAATGTGGGGTTGTTTCTCCCACGGAGATTTGCATCCACATCCACACCCTGGTGCACCTGGCTGGCATGTCTGTCCCTCTACCAGGTGCAGAGATTTGAGGAAGTCACCTATTTGGCTCTGCACCCCCTTCTCCCTGGGGAACCCCACCCTCTGAACGTCCCAGTCCCCCAAGTCTCCATCAATGAGGGAAGGGCATAATGGATGACAAGGGAGAGTGGACCAGGAGGCTCTGCCAGGGCTGCCAGTAATCGGAACCCCATATATTTAACAAAAGCAAACTTTGGATTCTGATGAGAAATCGCCTCCTCCCTCATCACTCGAGGGACATCTCCATGAGGAGGTATTTCCTGGCCTGCAGACACCTGAGGCAGGTGGAGTCTTGGCACATACTGAGGCAGGGTGTCCCCTTTGATGCCCCACACGTGAAGCACTGAGCAGGGAGCAACCTGCGCAGGTGGCCCAAGAAATCCCAGCCTCATTCCCAAGCCCGCCCCCTCCACCTGGGCGGGGCTTACCTGGCGGGGGCGGCACGGCCTCCAGGCAGGCGTAGGTGCAGCCATTGTAACAGCAGCGCTTGTGGCGCGGGCACTGGTTGTCCGCCCGGCAGCGCGTGGCCTGGCAGGCTCCGGGGGGCAGCGAGCGCGGAGGTGGTGGGCAGCGGTCCGCTCGGGGCTGCCGGGGGCCGGGGGCGCCCACTTCGTCGGCCTGTGGGGCGGGCAGAACGACACAGCAAGTCACCAACAACCCAAGGTCAAGCCTCTCCCTTCCATTTCAGGGTTCTGGGCCCCGGGGGTTCTGGGTCTGGAGATTCCACATTCCTTTCCCGTGGAGAACGGTGGTCCTGGCCAGAGTCTGCTGGAGGGCTGCTCCGCGGGTGAAATACATACATCATATCCTCTATGATGGACCAACTCAAAATGGCCCCAAGTCTAGCCACAGGCAAGCGCAAGCACCCATCTCTCTATCAGCTGGTGAACAGTTAGTGTTAGCCATACAGCCGCCCTGCAGCACCCTCCCCGCCGCTTACATCTGGGATATAACATGACGTGGCGCTTGCATAAAGCCATTCATCCTCCGCAAACTTTAATCCACCTCCAGATCACTTACAAACCAATGCAAGAGACATGCTCTGTAACTAGCACTTTGTGCTCCCTCTTAACCTCTCCCTCCTCCTCCTCCCCAGTTGTTACTCTTCTGCTGGTTGACTCCTTGGATAAAGAAGCAGTGAGTGCAAGGTCTGGGGTCCAACTATACGCACCTGCCCACGTGGACAGGAAGTACATTCACATACACGCAGTCAATGCAAGTCATTAGGTATGTAGCATTTTGTTGTTGGTTGTTAGTATGTACAATACCTCTGAACCCCATCCTATCCTGAGCCTGTCTCACTGTATCCAACACACCTACTCCTATTATCTGTTCCTGTGTCAATTCATCTCATCCAAGGTCTTTCCACCCTTCAAAGCATGATGTCTTGCTCCAAGGACTGGTCCCTCCCCGCAACATGTCCAAAGTGTGTGAGATGGAACTTCAAAATCCTTGCCTCCAAGGAGCAACATGGCTTTACTTTCTCCAGGACAGACCTGTTTGTTCTTGCGGCACTCTGTGATATGTTCAGTACTCTTCTCCAGCACCACAACTCCAGGGCATCGATTCTTCTGTCATCCGTAGTCATTATCCAGCTCTCTGAAGCACAGCTAGTAGCTGTTAAGACCATGGCCTGTATAAGGCACACCTTAGTCTCTAGACTGATATCAGTGCTCTTTAGCACTCTGGAGAAGTCCCTGACAGCAGATTTTCCCAATGCAACTTATCTTTTTATTTCCTGACTGCTGGTACCAAGGGTGTTGACTGTGGAATCAAGTAAGCTGAAACTGTTAAAAATCTCAATCTCTCTCCATTGATCATGCTGCTGTTAATTGGCCCAGTGGTGTTCTTGATGTTAAACTTCAGTCTATACTAGAGACTGTAGTCCTTAACCTTCTGCAGCAAACACTTCAGGTCTTCCTCAGTTTTGGCAAGCAAAGTTGTGTCATCTGCATAGCGCAAGATGTTGACGAGTCTTCCTCCAATTCTGATGCCACATTCCTCTTCATAAATCCAGCCTCCCAAATAATCTGTTCTGCATACAGATTAAAAGGTATGGGGAAAGGACACATCCCTGACACACTCCTTTATTGCTTTTGAACCATGCAGTGTTCTTGCTCTATTCTGACAAGTGCTTCCTGGTCTAAGTATAGCCACTTACACAGAAAAAATCTCTATGTACTTCTCAGCCATAATCCCTATGTCTGCAGAGCTGTGAGCATTTACAAACTGCACAGAGAATGGATGGTTTTGTGTCACATCTTGGATGAACCTCACAAACATGAACTGAGCACAGGAAGGCAGCTCAGGAGTGAGCACAGGTTGAGTGCATTCACTGGCAGTGGGGAGACTGGTCACCTGGTGGTGGGAGACCATGCGGGGCTGGGCTGCACAAGTGTCCTTGGCCGGGTCCTAACTATGCGTGCTCACTGTGGACACTGCAAAGACACTCTGTCCAGTGTGTGTGTTAGGACTCCACACAGAGTTACGGGTGAGGGCAGTCCTGAGCAAGTGGTGGTGGTGGTGGTGCGTTCTGCTGAGTCAGAACTGACCCGTAACTGACCGTCCAGAGGGTTTTCAGAGGCAGTAAATCACAGGAGAGGAGACTGCCCATCCCTGTCCAGCAGAGCAAGAAGTGAGAGCGAGAAATGCATCTCTTACAGAAGGGGCTGGGAGAGTCACATCAGGCAGCCCGCCCAGGGTCCCTGACACCATCCGTTCAGGTAACACCGTTCTGCTATCTAGATTGGATGCCTGGCTCCTCAAGGAGTAGTTGGTGGACTCTAACCTTTCACCTTTGTGTTGGCAGCACCACTCCTTATGACTCAGTCACCAGAGTTCCCTAAAATATGTATGTTGTTGTTGTGTGCCATGGGGTGAGGAGCCGACTAATAGCTGACCCTCCAGCGGGTCTCCAGAGGCAGATCAATCTCTCTCTCACTCTCTCTCCCTCCCCCCTCCACTCTCTCTCACACACTCCCTCTCAGTGCTCTCCAGTCGGTTCCCACTCACAGCTGCCCCCATGGCGTTTCCACGGCTGTATATCACCTTGGTAGAAGAATGTCCGTCTTTCTCTTGTGGAACAGCGGGTGGATTCGACCCACCAAAGATGTGCAGTGTTCGGACTAGCAGTATAACTCACTGCATACACCAGGACTCCTCCCTTGGTTTGCCTCAAATAAGCCCTGTAGTACAGAGGTTAAGCACTCAACTGTTAACTGAAGGGTTGGCAGTTCGAACCCTGCAGCTGCACTGGGGGAGAAAGATGTGTAGGCAGCTGCTTTAAAAAACGTACAGCACCCGAAACCCTAAGTGGCAGCTCCACGGGTCCTACAGGGTTGCGGTGGCCCAGAATCTACTACAAGGCAGTGCGTTTGAGCTGCCCCACCTCCCACTTTGTCCATGTCCAACTCCATGTGCTTCCCTCCTTGCCCTCTAGGGGGCGGCAGGCCCCCAACTCCAGGTCCTGAGTTAATGCATCCTGTGGTTTCAGATTGCCTCCTGGGGGTCTCAGAGATTATGGGGTGAAGAGAGATGGCCAGGTGAGGAAGGAAGCTGGGACTGCACCCCTGCCTCACCTAGAGAATCCTTCTCATATGATATCTCTCATATGATAGTGTTTCATTAAGGAATCCATCGTTTCTTATATATGATGGTGTTTAAACTGTGCAAACTACCATGAACATAAATCAACAGATCAGGCAAGGATGGCTTAGGGAGAAGGGGTTAGTCTTCCCAGGACCTATGGGAGGCCAGGCCTTGGGCCTTTAAATTTCAGCCCTTCGCCGCCCCTGCGCCACACAGTCTCCTTAATCCCTGTACTCATGAGAATAATCTTCAAACTGCTAGCAGGAGGCATAATCCCACATCATTAGTTCTTAGTTCATTTTCTGCAGAATTAATGAAAGTGGACCCGTGTTAGGGCCCCACTATCTCTAATCCTAACCTAATCTGACAGCTGCCTTGGCCTCCTGGGGGGCGATTAAGAGTGCTTCAGGCATGGGGTGAGACAGACGGGGCACCTTCCCACTGAGCCTCGTTTATGAAATTTACTGGAACCAGGAGATCAGAAGGGAAACCCTTCTCTGCTCCTGAACTCTTCGGGCCCCTCCAAACAGCAGGCGGAGAGACATTCATTTTCTAAGAGCTGCTTGCTGTTTCCCCCAAACACACAAGCACAGAATTTGGTGAGAACAAGAGAGATAAGCATCTTAGAAGTCAACCTGCAGAGTGATTTACAGTGTGGCGCCACAGATGGTGCTGTGATACGGGGCTCATGTCACCCCGGGGGCCTGGATTAAAGGATTGCATTTTTAAAAAGTCATCTTATGCAAGGTGACGCTCAAGGATGATTCCAAACAAAGGATGTTTTCTGAGGTTCTGAGAACTTTCTCTTCCAGAAATATACACAATCCCCCTCCACTGGTTCCCCAGAGACCCTGAGGATTCAAGGCCCAAGTCCCAGGCACACAGAGCCGACCTGAGCTCTCCTCTCTGCTCTCCCTCCCATCACTGTCCCTCTTGTTTCCCCAGCCACATTGGCCCCAACTCCACCGTCCCAGCCAGCCTCACGTCCCAACGCTGCCCCTCAGCTGAACATCAAAGTTACATTCAAGCCCTGCTTAGTGACCACTGACCACATCCTTCCAAAAGGCTACAGAACACTGATCATCTCCTTCCCAGAAATTTCCATCTGTTATTCTATCTTTGCTGAGGGCTCGTGCAGGAAGTGTATTTCAAAATAGCTGTCTGATGTAAATTCAAGCGACAGCTCAGACCAGAACCTCCCAGCTCTGGGAGTCTTCCACGTAAATGTCACCCCCTTGGGGATTCCACTTTCATGTCTATTTTTCATCCTTTGGATGTATTTTCAGAAACCAGACTTTATAAAGTTAAAAAGGCAAAGGTAGCACTTGGAGTACTAAGGTACACAGGACACAAACCACGGTCTTTCCAATCAGCTCATGTGCCGTGAAAGCTGGTCAGTGAACAAGGAAGATCACAGAACTGATGCCTTTGAATGATGGTGTCGGGGAAGACGCCGACCACACCACAGACTGACATACCACCAGAGGGCTCCTTAGAAGAGAAGCGTGCCTTTACCTCTGGGCATATTATCAGAAGGGCCGGGTCCCAGAGGAGGACATCATAGAGGGGCAGAGAAAACAAAGACCCTTAACTGGGTGGACTGGCTGGCTCAGGGGCTGCAGCGATGGGTTCATACGCAGCAGATGATGAGGATGGGACAGGCCTGGGTAGGGTTTCGCTCTGCAGAGCACAGGTCACTCTGAGCCAGGACCCAGACTCCATGGCACCTAACGACCATTAAGGGTTGCAAAGACGTTCTTCCTGCTCACCTCGGAAGGGGATTAAGGAAGTGCCTTTGCTGGGAAGGTGAGCTCAGCTAGGGCAAGTCTGCACTCTGCGGCAGCCACCGACCCAAGGAAGCTGGCACATCAATGCCAGCACGCAGGCAGGCCACGCAGGCCTCTGCAGAGGGGGCATTAACATAGTCACCATATACACAAGGGGCAAGGCCAGGTACAAAGCCGTATGAATGAGCCAGAGGCCACCTAGTGGGCGAGGCCATTCGCAGGAAATGTCCAGACCAGGCCAAC